CCATCCATCCATCCATCCATCCATCCATCCATCCATCCATCCATCTCATCGAGCTATTCTCATTATTGTTACCTTCACATTCAGCAGCAAATCGTAGGTCGTCAAAGGCAATATATCCCCAAACGTCATCAAGGCTGTCATCCACAATTCTGATTTGCGCAACTTTCCCTTGGTGTCCCTTGACGTCCCAGTATTTACGGACCAAGGAATCCTTACAGTTACCCGTTTCTTCAAACAACGTTTTGTTGTCAACAAGCAACTCGACCCTCACTTTTGAAGCATTGCATCCTCCTAAAAAATACATTATAACGATTAAATTGGGTAGCATTTTCAATATAAAAAATCTGGATCTTAAAATACCACTCGTTCACTCAGGCTTAACCTTATTTCAGCGTCAAAATATTTGTTAATAGGAATCGTAGTGACGAATCTTTTGTTAAACTCATCCAACATGGCGGCTGTGAAAACCATTTTAAAGTGTTTGTTGTATTGTTAAAGTTGTCTATCCGATTCTTTACTGTACCGTTGGTATTTGTGAATATTTAGACACTGATACGAGGCTAATCCTGAGTAAAAGAGTCTGTAATCAAGGAACACAGCGGTAATTTGGAACTCGAAAATGGTCTATACAACACTGGAATAGACATCCTGAAAAATTGAAAAAGATTGAAAAATCGAAAAGTCTTTGCGAAAGAAATCTTCAGTGTCTTACCTCCAATCAAAAAAGTCAAGTTTGAAGCTCGTATTTGAAAGGGAGGTGACGTCATCAACCCCTTAAGGGATCCTCCAATCACCGTCCTACTTTTTTGACATGGTGACGTAGCATTACTATTGGTATCGATTAGCCAGTTGCCATAGTGACCAGGGGCAGTACTGTTGCCCCCGAAGACTGGTTGGTTGTTGAAGGCTTGTCCTGATAAGAGCCATCCTTGGAGGGGACTTTCGAAGTTAAAGATCACGCAACCTTAGGAATAAGGAAAATTATATTCAATGGTGGTGATTATTTATTGATGTTTGTTTGTAAATGTGTGGGCTACACTAATGAAGCATGACAATAATCCGCACAACAACATGTAAACAAATGTGTGGGCTATACTAGTAAAGCATGCCAATAAACCGCACAACAACATGTAAACAAATGTGTGGGCTATACTAATGAAGCATGCCAATAAATCACACAACAAAATGTAAACAAATGTGTGGGCTATACTAATAAAGCATGCCAATAAATCACACAACAACATGTAAACAAATGTGTGGGCTATACTAATAAAGCATGCCAATAATCCGCACAACAACATGTAAACAAATGTGTGGGCTATACTAATGAAGCATGCCAATAAATCACACAACAACATGTAAACAAATGTGTGGGCTATACTAATAAAGCATGCCAATAAATCACACAACAACATGTAAACAAATGTGTGGGCTATACTAATGAAGCATGCCAATAAACCGCAAACAAATGAATTACAAAACCATATAAACAATATATGAAAAATAATTTGATTGAAGATTGAATTATGTTCTTAAAATTTTACTTGGTAAAAAATCAAATTTAAAGAGCTTAAGCTACGGACACACGGCGCAACATTGCGCGCTGAAGTAGAAAACTTTCCTACTTCAGCAACATTGTGTCCGTGCCTTTAATGTCGCAATTTTTTATAATCAAATTGATATCAAAGAAATTACAAATTAATGAATGTATGAAAATGACCAACAAAAATGAAATATATATATATATATGAACTAAAAACCCAAGTGCATGCAACAAACGTGAAAAAATTAGTTGACAATCAAACAAACGAGACAGAAAATGAAATTAAGTGCTGACCACAGTTTTGCAAGCGGGTATTAATCATCCAAACCTATCGTAAAATTAAGAAAAATGATGTTGAGTTTTTTTTTCTACTTCTAAGCGGTGGAAATGATCCCTTAATAGAAGAGTGTGGTTCATTTAGAGTTAGCTAATTGAAAACATTTTAAAGAGCATTCCATTCGTTGTAATTAAGTACGCGTGTACATTCATTCTGCGTGAAGAAGATACCAGAACATTCTCTCCATCCTCGCGATCATACCCTGTAGGAAGGCGAGCCGGGAGCGGGAGTAACCGTTTAAAAATACTGTCATAAAACTAAAGGCTCTTCAATCAAATGTACATTGTACCTACTTTTATCTCCCGGGGGGGGGGGGGGAGGGGGGTACTCCGCCAGAATTTGGGTAGGGGTGTTCCGCTGGGATTCTGAAAGGTGGGATTCTGAAAGGGGTACCCTGTTTATGACAAAAAAAACCATATTTGTAGTCCCTGTTTATGACAAAAGATACAATTCATTGCACTGAGTTCCCGTTTCAATTATCATGTCATCTCGCGTATTGTTTTTTTTTACGACCATAATAACCAGTTTCGGTCAATACGAAAGTAGAAACCCTGAATATGACAGAAAACTCAGGAAGAACTTGGAACTTGAGTGAAATTGCATACCCTGTTTATGACAAGAAGCTCGAAAAACCATACTCTGTTCAGCGGATCATCCCCGTATAGTCCATATATGCGAGTACCCCCCCCCCCCTTCCACGGGTTTTATCTGATTATCAGTTCATTCTGAGTTAATTAAAGTTCCATGTTTTGAACATCAAGAGGTTTTGGTGTTGCAGATATATGTATATTGAATAACAAAGAGTGTTGAATTTTCACTTTGAAGTGCCTATGACACCTAACTTAAAATTTTCAGTATTCATTCTAAATGAAAAGTTGAATGGTAAAATATCTTTATATGGTTTGAGTGATGCATCTTGGAGATATCAAGGTTTATACTTCCAATATATATTATATATATATAAATACATGAAATAATGTCTACGAATTTCATGTCACTGGACGATATTTTTATGTTAAAAAATACTTTTTTCCGGCAATTAAAGTGTCTACTTTGCTATTCCTTTTTTCTTTCAAGAGAGTTGAGAATTTTCTTGAATGATATTGAATAACAAAAGATCCTGTGAGACGATTCAATTGAGAAAAAAAGCTTTCGCATGCAATTTAAAAAAAAAAATTCAATAAATGAACAGACCAACATCCTCTCTAAAAAAAGTCATATCTAATTAAATTGTGTTTTTCTTTAACGAGGAAGTAACTTTGTTAGCCCGCAGCGAAAACTCTGTAGGCATTCAAATTCTTCACTAATACCATTCAATTGTCGATTTTTTTGACTTCTCGTCATCTAAGATTTTTCGTGACACTTTTCATGCAGACCCAGCTAGAAGAGTGATAACATACAGGGTGTTTCGAATAGTTGAAAAAATATAAAGACCTATGTAATAACTATTAAAGTCATGATCATTATAATTATCATTTTCATACTACATTACATTATCGTATTTTCTAATAGAAATTCTTACAAGCTATTTATCACATACTGTACTTTTCAACTTTAAAATATTGCAAAATATTAAACATTTTCACTTTATTCGATACAGAAAGATTTTATGTATCATTTTTTGCGGTAAATATCTGAATGACTGTCTGAATTTTACATTAAAACTTACTTTAATGTTAAACAAATTATTTTAATCTTTTTTCTTCGTTTACCGTCTTTAATCGCCGCAAGCCAAACACTAGTTACGCTAATTTCTAAGGATATATTTTAAAGACGAAATTGCGTAAATTGATATGCTGTTTATCTTTTTTTTTTGTGTTATGGATGAAAAAGTAGTTTAGGAAGAAGCGAAGAAAAATAGGATATTGATCCAAATTCTAATAAAAAATTCTAGATTGGAACTTTTTAGACTTAAAAAGAGACTTTTCACTGATTGCACAAACTGGCTGAAGTCTAAAAAGGTTTCAGAATACTCTTGGAACCTATCATTTTTGATGCCAAATTCAGCCAATGATAAATAAGAATTGTTTTAGAAGAACTAAAAATCAATGAGAAGAAGAACTGAGGCCGCTTAAAGTAAGTGTATCATTTTGAAACAAATGTGCCGTAGTAGATAATTTTATCACCGTAAATACGAAAGATAATAGACTGACGTTTCGGACGTTAGTCCTTCGTCGGAATCATTTTCTTACCGCTTAACGCTGCTTGGTTGTTTGGATCCTTTCCTTGAAGAGAAGCTACTTCGATTTTGATAAGGCAGAAGAAACAGAACAATTTGACAGCTAATTTTAAACATAGGAACCTCATTCTTCTTAGTGAGTCTTAAAAGATGAGAAAATGAGTCTAGCCGAGACTCATAGAGCGTAGAAAGATCTCTACGCTTTGAGAGAAGGAGAGGAAAACTATATGAATTAAACCACCACAGTTTCAATTCTATTCCCTTGAACAGGATATGAAAACCACGTAACGCGAAATCCTCAAACGTAATTCAATTCAATTTTTAAAAAAGAAAGACAATGGTCGTTTAAAAAGATATGTGAAAAGCTATTATTCTAGCCAGGGAGGTGTTTTGTTCATTTGTTTTTAAAATGGTACAAAAAAAATTTCACTCGAATCAACGATTGGCGAGTGAAATGGAGCTCATTAGCGAATGCCGCTCAAATTTACAATTGTTACTAGTGGAGGATCCCAGCGGGGGCTGATTTCGCTAACGTTTGAATATCATCGAAAAAATCCCCTCCTAAAGATAAACAGCTTGAGTTTAATTTACTTGTGTTCAAGCTAAGCAAGAGCCTCTCGAACAAATGAGTTCTCTTTGAAACGCTTCTGTAAATATCGGCCCTAAAGTAAATGATCAAACTATAGCCAATCGTAGCAAACCTTTTTCTTGGCGATAATTTCTAACATTAGAGAGTTTTAGATTGACTTTTTTTCTCCCCGCAAAAGCCAAACGTGACCACGTTTTTATCGTTTTCCTGTATTTTACTTTACCTTTTACAAACCTTCTCACCAAAGACAAATATTCTTTTGTTTTTCTACTATTTGGACTTTTTTGCGATTCTTTTTAAGCTATTTGGAATAATTTTTGAATGGTCAACTGACGTTTCGCGTTTGCCGTGAACGTAATTCTAAAACTCTCTATTCTCTTCAATTATATCTTATTGGAAGTGAACGAATTTATTTCTATATTATTACATTTTGTTTTGAAGAAGCCCTGTTAGGGATTTCCAAAGCTCTGACGTGCTTGAGTGCTTGTTGATGTCGAGTCAAGAAATACTTAGGAGTAGAATAGAAATCCTTGAGTTAGGGACGTCATATGGACAAGGCAAATAATAAGGCGACAGCAATCCAGATCTTTTATTCGGAGCACACCTTTCAGGTGCACTTAGATTTATTTCAATAGGCCAATACGTTGGGGACTCAGCTATTTTGGTCCTTTTCCGCGGCTCGTCTGCAGTCGTACATCAATACGGACACTGTTTGTTTGCAGCTTTGCTATTTAGTGTTACCCCCATAAAATAAAGTTTGTTGATTGATTGATATCGAAGTTACGTATGAATCCTCTCTAAAGATTCGAGAAAGTCGGAAAGTAGATCTTAAGATCAAAAGTTTTTTTATCTTAAGATAAAAATTTTGTCGATATTTTCAAGTAGTTTTTAGTTCTTTAAGACTAAGACGGGAAATGAAAGTATTAGAGCTAAAGTGCGTGCCCTAAAGACGTAAGGATGTTGCCTGAACGTAACACAAAAGAATGTAAGGTCGGTTTCTTTGAACAGTAGATTGGTTAATTTCTTTCTACAATAAAAAAGGCTTCGGAAATAATTGCTATTTTCAGAATTCCCAACCCCGGCACGACAAAGCCAGCAAAGCGGTTTGAAAAGAGGGGGTGCCTGATCACGACATTCTCAGATTTATCTGAAACATTCTCCTTCCCTCGTAGTAAACAGTGTACCCCTATGTTAGTCGAAAGACCAAAAATATAACCTTCATCAGAGTTCACTAATTCGATGAATTTTTTTGACTACATTTTTTCTTGTCTACGTTATCCATGCATGTCTAATTACATCGAAACCAGTTTTACCGGTTTAACCAGGTCTATCTTTTGTCAGTCCAGAATGTTGGTTCCAGTTAGAAATTTTTTCAAAAAATGATCGTAAAAATACAGAAATCTCTTTCTTGGATTAGTCATATATGCTGAACAAGTTTATATTTTCGTCACAAAATGCGAAGTTACATAGACCTTTCCTGAGATAGCGAACATGGTGCATTGTGGTCTAGCTTCGGTACAAACATCTTTTGTTCATCATGCCTTATATGGAGTTGTTTGTACCGAACCTACACCACAATGTATCCTGTTTATCAAACTCAGAAAAGGCCGTTGTAAATTCATGACCAAAAATTGGGAGTGCCTGTGATCCTCCGCCACCCCGCCTATGACGGGGAGACTAAGCGAGGAAGGGTTCATCCAAACTTGAATGGTACGGGACGGGGCGAAAAAATTCTTTATGAGCGATACTAACGAATCGTAAAATCTGGCTGCACCATCCGAGTCGATTCCTGTTATGAATTTTTCACAGGTAGCCCAAGCTAGGTTTCTGTGGTGTCATGTTATAAGAAAATGTATGGCGATACTTACTCAATAAAATCGTCAAAATGTGAAAATTAAAGAAATCTTAGCCTAGCTTGGGCTACCCGTGAAATTAGAAAATTCAAACTAAACTTTTGAATTTTTTAAAAAAACTTGACGGTATTTCAGACCATCGTCTAGAACTCGACCCACTCCCCACTCCCCACGCTTCATCGATCTCATACGTAAACCGCCTTACCGAATAATTGATATAACAGTATCGAAATTTATCGAGTATCGAGTTACTACAGAAGGGCTAATGTCATTCAATAGATTTACTGGAATCAACGATACGGCCAATCCTAGTATTTTTAGTTCAACATGAATAATTTTTGGCCACTGCAATAGAACTCTTGTGAGTAAATGTAGTAAATCTCAAATCAAAGTTCTTCAATCTGGTTGAAAACTCAGTAGAATAGTTAAGAAAACCTGAGTTCAAAGGGTCTGCTCGCTTGTTTTCCTTTCAACCAAATCAAGAAGTTAATTAACTAATGCCAAATTACATTAATGAGTGAAAAACCTACTTAAAACTGACGTCAAAGCTATTATAGCTATAAAACAATATGTCTTCGAAACTGGCGGTTAGATCCTAACTACTTTTAAATCACACTCAAACTCGCTCTAGAAGACCCCAGACTTAACTTTGTGACTCGCAAGGTTTTTCCAGAATTAGACAAAATGTTTTATCTATTTCTATTTTATTTATTTGTTTTTATGTATTTAAATTCCCAAGAGTGATGTTTGCTGTGCATTTGTTCGTCATTTCTCCAACCCAGTTTTATGTTAAAAAATATATAAAATTAGAATCGATTTGTCTTTTTCCAAAATGCGTTTTGATTCTTGTACTTCTTGCATGTCAACTTAAAGATATCAAGACTCATTATGCAAAAATTAAAGATTTTTTAGCAAAATATTTTTGATTTAGTGTCTTAAACAACAACGGTTGAATATAATTGCCAGCCAAAACATCCTAGTCATTTATTTTGGATCCGACACGAAATTTGTATGCAAAACTAAAAATATGACCACCAACGTTAGTCCATACATGTTCTAGAACATCTCACCTCCGTCATTAGGTAAAGAAAAAAAGATTATTTATTATATTTTGATTTCTTTTCTTAATTAGCCTCCTTGAAACGAACGTAATACAAACTGAGAACACAATATGATCATCCAAGCAATCAATCATGTGACGTAATTATAGGGGTCCTTTTGAGGACTGAGTCTTTGTTCTGGCTACGGGCGATTCCGAATCTTAGTGCGAAGTGCATTGTTTTTCAAAATGAAAACATTCCGGGTATTCAAAATTGTTCAATACTCTGAAACGACCTCTTGGTTGACAATAGTCAGGGCACGGCTAACTCACATATCGAATCCTGAAATTGAACAATCTTTGGGCTGATCAAAGTCAGGGCATGGGTAACTCCCTGAATGAATTGATATTAAGAGGAAATTTTTTTCAATAATGAGCAATAATGGCAAAAAGCGCCAAAAACTAGACTTTAGTATGAGTTTTGATCCAATTTTCGTTTTGGGTTAACACTCAAAATCTTTTTTAAACAGTTAGGAACTGATGTACTTTGATAAAATGCCTGTTTGAAGCGGTATTTTCAATTATTGTACAAAGATGTTTTGTTGCATTTGTGTTAGAATGTTGCTTTGTCAGGCTTTTTTATAGAAAATATAGGGGAAATAAGCAAATGAAGGCCTAAATCTCATTTTCGAATAAAATTTTTGCTTTGGGTCAACACTGTGATTTCACTTTCATCGGTCATCTCCACTTCCAAACAAGTTAAACTTTCTGAATAACAAGATTTTAGCCTTGTACAACAGCCTTTCTTCAAGAAAATATTTTTTGGCGCTCACTGCTTGAATACGAAAAGAATTCTCTCTTAACTTGTTAGGTTTTGTGGAGGGAGAAAAACCCTCGAATCAAGGGAGAGAGCAAACAGGCTGTACACACATGTAACGCCGAGTCCAGGAATCAAACCTGAGACCGTAGAGGTGAGAGGTGAGTGTGCTACAGCTATGTCACTCTTGATTCCCCAATCATTCTATTAGTGTTTCTTCCAACAAAGACATTGGATCGTGTTTGCAGTTAGACTTTTGCATATTTTCTTTATTTCGGAGTACACTGATAAAACTTTAAAAGTTTGGCGACTCGAAAATCTGCTGAAAGGCGCTACGCCCAAAATGTCGAGGACACAAAAATTCTCGTTCATTGGTTTACGTTTCTAGCCCTTAGAAAAGGAAGCAGAGAGAGAGACTTGCTCATGATCACCAAGTTTGTTTTTTTTTTTTCGCTTCTTTCTTTCTTTTGGTTGTTTAGTTAGTTAATTTAGTTAGTCAATTTATTTGTGTTTTTTTGTGTATTTTTTTCTTTTCTTTCTGAGATTTGATACTGATAATTTGTAATTTTTGTAATTATCAACTTTAATTTTAGAAAGTAATTTAACCAAATTTTATGAGAAGAATGAAATAATAAGAAATATGAAAAAACAAGAAAGAAAGAAAAAAAAAAAAAAAAAAAAAAAAAAAAAAAAAAAAAAA